GGGATGATATGGTGGAGGCACTGGCTGCCTTGTCTCGGAAGAAGGATGTCCAGGAAGGTGGCTCAATATCCGATCCCACTCTCACCAACCTGAGCAATACTGTCTCTCGAATTTCGAACCTCGCCGGTATCACAGATTGCACCTCCATTCTCGAGACTGTCCCTAATTCACGATCTAAATCTAAGAAGGACCACACTGAAGCCCCATTTAACAGCCTCATCCGTTTTGCCGAACGTGGTCTGCGCGGCGAAGATGACGATGAGGATATCGCCAAGGTGGAGAACGAGCTAGTATCAAGCAGTATCCGGTCGTTGCTTTTCTATTTCATGTGGAAGGTGCAGGCACTGTCCACAGCCTTGAATGACGGAAAGGCCTCCTTCAGCACATCCTACTTTGAAGCATTGACAAAGAGCCGCGAAACTTTCGCCTCCGCATTGCTCAACATCATGGAAACGCGGTCCGGGCTGGATGACCTTCGCTTCACAGCAACTACAACATACCTGGACTTGCAAACCCTCTTCAGCACGCTCCGCAACATCGGCCAAGGCAACGGCAATGATGAAGACGTCCTATTCCAAACCCAAAGCCTAATCCATGAAATTGGACCTGACACCCAGGCCCTCATCACCAAGATCCATGGCACAGCCGAGCGCACATCCGCCAAGAAATCAAGGCTCAACCTCGAGCCCGCAGACGACGACGCCCCGGCCTCGGAAGATGAACTCGACTCCGAAGATGAAGCCAGCGACTCCGAAGACGAAGCAGTCATCAACGACCGCCTCTGCAGCAGCATCGTCGCTGAACAGCGCCTCTGCGAGCTGACAGGAAAGCTCGTCCTTGCCATCATTGCCCGCATCATTGACGCCTCCGGCTCTAAGCGCGGCTCCCTGAAGAAGCGTCTCCTCCGCAATAAGACCGCCCTCGGCCACAACTACAGAGAGGTTCTCTCTTATCTGGAGGAGCGCAAGCCTCGCAGTGCCCCTCGCGCCAAGGGCAAGCAACCTGCCAAGCCTGCTGCTTCCCCCGCCAAGGGCTTCAAGTCTGCTGAGCATATTGATGATGACGATGAGAATGACCAGCCTGAGCCTATTGAGGAAGATGATGAGGAAGATTTGCGTGCGCGCGGACTTGTCGAAGAAGATGTTGAACATAAGAATGGGGACGAGGATGAGGAACTCAGTCCTGCGCCTGAGGCTGATGAAGATGAGGTGATGGGTGACTGATCTAGCTTGCCTTATTTGACATTAACGTGCGCCTAAACAAGATGATCCTGTTTATTGCTGCCGTTTTATTGCTTGTTGCTTTCTTTTCTTGTTCCTTTTTTTTCTCCCTCTACTTTCTTTTCTCTCTCTTATGGATTATGGCTTGAATTAACTGTATCTCTCTTCTTTGCTCTCGTTTGCGTGGATATGGACTTTTTTTCAACCTGTATCTTATATACTTCTTTGCTTTACTGCTAGTTCGCTGACTTGACCGCAATCTATTCCCCTCTGGTCTTTGCTGTAATATTTTGGGATCTTGATATAGAATTGCAGTATAGTAAGTAGGGTACTTGGGTCTGCTACATATTATCATTAGTAGATGTAGCCCTTGATTCAAATTCATCTTCAATCTCATCCGATGTGAACGCTCCTTCTCGTAGTTTTTTTAAGTTAATTCGCGCCTCTTCCATGCGGCCTTGGATGAGAAGTCATCGAGGGGACTGCCTACGCTTAGCTACGAACGGGGAATTCAAAAGTTCTGACCTCTGGGATAAGCCATATGAGAGATGCTATGATGGTCGGAATGATGAAGAAAAGCCCCAGAGATATCGCTAGTAGGTACCTAAGGTAACTATATAGTATTATATTACAGACACTAGTCAAAAGTATCTTCCCACTCCATTTTTCGGCTACCCCCATCAAATATATATATCTGCATTATACAGCACTACACAACCATATAATAAGCTAATTTAATTCAGTAAAAAACATATTAATAATTGATAACCGCACAATTAATTTCTCGCTTAATATTTTGTATAATACCCCTTCGCCCTGCGCACAGCTGCCAAACGTCTCCCCATACTTAATATTAATCTATCAATCTTCACCTGCGGAATCGCCTCCCAAGCCTTGACTAGGCACTCTTTAAAATACTGCCAGTCAGATAAGCTTCTTCCCATCTCAATAAGCTCTGGAAAGAGCCTAAAAAGCGTCAATTTTAACCACCGCCATACCGGTTCAATTAGGTTTAAATCAGGTGAGTGTGGAGGCCAATCCTCGACGTAAATCCCATACGTTTCAAACCACTCTTGTGTCTCCTTTACTGTATGAATCCTTACGTTATCTTGCTGAAAGGTAGTTTAGGGGTTATAGAAAGGGACTAGACCTTTTTCAAGCGCTAATATATATGACTTTGCAGTATAACCTCTCCCAGAAGGTGAATCTTCATCCCGCTCTATAATTATTAACGGTGTACAACCTCTAACCCAGATTCCACCCCAAACCATCTATGAGATATCTTTCATATAGGCCTTAATATTAATTAGATCACGGCGGAAGCCCTCCGGCTGAAAACGGAAGCACCATTGTGGTCCAACATTCGAGGTTTGTTACACCGAACACTCGTCTGAAAAGATCCACCTCTGAAAGCTTTCGCGTTGCCATTTTTGAGCATATCGAAGGCGCTTCCTAGCAAGGGCCTTTCCAATTAGTATCTTCCTTTTTGTAAGATATTTTGAGAGGCCAAATTGCTTAAAGATTCGCCGTATAGTTGAGTTTGATAGGTGTTCAGGTACTGTCGAACTAAGCTGTTTATAGGTCCAAAATGGGTACCGGCGGGCCTGAAGATATAGGTAATAGCAAGATCGACGGCTTAGGATTTGGGGACGGCCTTTTCGGGGGAGGGATTTGATAGATTAGTACTCTTCGAAGCGCTTAAGTGTATTATAAATAGTCCTGCGGCTGCAACCAAAATCATTAGCTAGTTTTGACTGCGAAATCCCATTCTTATGGCCAAATATAATAGCTGACCTTTGTACCGGGCTTAATTCAGCCAATTTTGTAGGCCTAGAGCCTATTTGCATTTGGATTTGACGACTTTGGGGGGTGTAGGAAGAAAAATAAAATGGTGGGTGGTTGTTGGGGTGATTATAGTGGGGCAAAGTGGGAAGATACTTTTGAACCCCTATGTATATAATCCCGGCCTAATTCGGATCCGATTGGTATATATCATTATTGAACACGTCTGGAGTTTCGCGCCTCTCTGTCCAAAATAGACCGCAATGTTTTGTGCATATTGCTAATTCAGTTGTAAAACAGAGCAACGTATTATCATATGATCTAGCTAGTAGGTACCTAAAGTAACTATATAGTACTATATTATATATAGCCCTTGACAAGTCACGCGGTACCAAGCCAATTTTGGTAACGTTGCTCGGTGTCGTGGGGTACCGCGTGACTTCACAGATTTTTGGCACCGTTACTTGGTGTCGGTACCGCATGGTGCTGCGGTACCAACGGTAGTCTCATATAGTACCGTTCCTGCATAATTTACCAAGAAATTACCTATTTGGGTTGCATAAAATGCTACGTAAGTTGATAAAATACTGTTTTTTATGAGTGTATGAGCTGTATCTGGACCCGAGTCTTCTACCTTTATATACCTATATTGTTCTGATTATTCAGTGTTTGGGTATATAGATCACTCTACAGACTGAGTTAAGTAATGCTGATGTACAAATATATTCAGGAGTTTTTCGGGGTTTCATCCTTCGTCTGCATTTTGGACCTCGTTAAGCTTCTATACTTCGGACTATATACTATATCCTACTTGGTACTCAAAGTTATTGAATATCACTAGGTGAGTATAATTTCTGACCGCGGTCAGAAATTAAAGGTGGAGGGTAGGTCACTAATCCTATAAACTATAGAGGAATAGAGGAATTAGATGAATTAGAGGATAAAAGTTATCCTAAAATGAAGAGAATAAGGTAGTTACTAAAGGCTATAAATACCTAGACTTCGGCACAACCCACTCTAACCCGAACCCAACCCAACCCAAAATGGGTTCTGCCGAAGTCTATAAATACCTTTAAAAACTAGGGGGTATATCGAAAGCTATATTATAATATATAACTAGGAACCTAAGTATTTAATACCTCGGAAAATATATAGACCGCTATGATAGTAGGCCCTATACAAATTGTACATTGAGCTTAGTTAGGTATACCTGAGTAGATTGTTAACTAGTGGGTTTTTGTCATTTTAGTTAGAGTCATATATATCTGTCATTTTGACCATATATTGCTGTACCTGAGATTTCTATATAGCCGTAGGTTTTTACGGGAACCCGCGCGGGTTACCTATACGGGGTTGCGGGTGGGACGGGTTAGAACCTCTTACCCATTCTCGGGTTTTGGCGCAGACTACTCCGTAGCTAGGGAAGCCTTTTCCTGTCTATAGACTTGACTATATGTAATAGGGTAATTCTTAGTCTAAACTATATTTGATCAATTAAATTGGTCAATGACATATTGCCATGCGATGAATAATAATAAATATATCAAACATTATACATGTATTGAAAGACTGTAATACAATATACCCTTTTTGTATTTTACATCGCAGAGTAGTAGAGCCAGTGACGTACCTTCGTAATTTCACTAAATGTATAACCACCTGCACACCCCGGATATTCGATGAACAGTTGTTTCAATCCTCATAACCTTTTGACAATTCACCATGGTCGCCAATGCGATCACCATCATTTTCTCTCCATACCACGTCGGAGCTCGCGACCACCGAGTCGGCAACGGCCCCAACCGAATTCGGTCCCTCGGAATCACCCAAGCGCTCGAAAAGCTAGGTGTCATAAAATGATTTCCCACGAAATCGACTCGGTAGGCGAGTTTGAAGGCGAGATCGGCCGTAGCTTTGAGTTACTGTGCCGAATCTCAACTGCCGTCACCGAAGCAGTAGCCCAAAAATACCTTCCTGTTGATCCTGTCCGGGAATTGTATGGCAAGTGTCGGCGCTGCATGTGGCCTGAATATCAAAGACCTCGGCTTCATATACTTCGATGCACACGATGACCTTGATTCACCCGATATGAATGAGAACGGATATTTCGATGCGATGGGTCTCTATGCTGCGTGGAGAGAGCTGGAAAACCTTGATCAACACCGTACCTGGATATCACCCCATGACTTACTGACGATTCCTCTACTGCAGTCTACGCGATCAAAGTGAGATCTAGCGACAGAGAGTCATTGACGTAGGTATGACTTCCATATGGGGTGAAACCGAGCGGAAGGTGGATTTCACTGCTGAGCTGAAGAAACATTTGGAGTCGGGCTCTTATAGTCCAGCTCTTGTGCATCTTGACCTAGACGTGCTTGATGAGTCTTATGGTAAAGTCAATGACTATCCCTCACCGGGTGGTATGTTCGAAGAGGAATTGGTGGCTTGTATGGGTCTCGTGCCGCAAAAGGCTACGCCCAAGTCCCTCACTGTGTGTTCGTTTGATCCCAATGCTGGAGATGGCGACAAAATTGCTGGTATTGCAATCCGGGCAGTTGTGGCCTTTGTAAAATCGCTTGTGGAAGCTGATACTTTGTCTACATCTTCAAAGCCATGAGAATAAGCGCATAAATAAAAATGAATTTGTTGGATATAAATTAAATTAGAGACCTTAATGCTAAATAGAAAAAAACAGGCAATGAGCCAGTCTCGCCATGGTATCAATACAACTGATCTACCTTCACGTTAACCACTTTCATTCAAAGCGTCTTGGGAGAGATATCCAAATCCTACTCGCTTATCGATATCGAAAAGATGAGTCTCCAGTCCAGGAAGAATCATCAGTGTCGAGTACCATGCATCATATATGGTGGAAATTACCAATTTGCTTATGTTTATTTCTTTTGGTATACTAAATGAATCAGATTATATGCAGTACTAAGGAGTAGCATCTCTTAGAAGCGGCTTGTCCTAGAGTCCCCTCTGCTCCTTCCTCAGTTCACTAGGCAGGAAATATCACCTAGGCACCTTCCTCATCTGACTTCTCTTTCCCTTATTTTCTCCCCTCCCCCTCCCTCTTCTTTCTTCTTCTCTTATCCCTTCCCTCTCGTCTCTTCTTTCACTCTTCTCATTCTTTTCATTCAATCACCTGTTCTCCCTCTCTCTTCATCGTCAACGAGGACCAGAACCATTGCTGCTGCCACTGTCTCTTGCCAACTGGCACAGTGTGCCGATTATCTACACCACCTGTTCTCCCTCTCTCTTCATCGTCAACGAGGATGAGAACGAGAACCATTGCTGCTGCCACTGTCTCTTGCCAACTGGCACAGTGTGCCGATTATCTACACCACCTGTTCTCCCTCTCTCTTCATCGTCAACGAGGATGAGAACGAGAACCATTGCTGCTGCCACTGTCTCTTGCCAACTGGCACAGTGTGCCGATTATCTACACCACCTGTTCTCCCTCTCTCTTCATCATCAACGAGGACCAGAACCATTGCTGCTGCTACTGTCTATTGCCAACTGGCACAGTGTGCCGATTATCTACACCACCTATTCTCCCTCTCTCTTTATTGTCAACGAGGACGAGAACGAGAACCATTGCTGCTACCACTGTCTCTTACCAACTGGCACAGTGTGCCGATCGTCTACACCACCTGTTCTCCCTCTCTCTTTATCGTCAACGAGGACGAGAACGAGAACCATTGCTGCTGCCACTGTCTCTTGCCAACTGGCACAGTGTGCCGATCGTCTACACCACCTGTTCTCCCTCTCTCTTCATCGTCAACGAGGACGAGAACCATTGCTGCTGCTACTGTCTCTTACCAACTGGCACAGTGTGCCGATCATTCTCAAGTTTCATCTGATTGATAAGGTAAGGATGACGCATTACTCCAAACCTTATCCGAAACTTACTAAGACCATATAGATTCGGACGCCGGAATGTCTGTACCTTCTATCATCGTGGATTCCCTTCCGGAAACCCTTACATTGACCTCAAATACCAGACAGTCGGAAATGTCTGATGAATCGGATTCCTCCGACGGCGAGTGCTTTAAGGCGCTCCCCGACGACACTATCGAAGCGATCGGGTCGACAGCGAGTGCCATCCGGAAGGTTATCAGAGAAAACGAAGAAACAACCAACGTGGTGAAATATATACGTTTCACAAACGTCCCACCAGCTATTGCGGAAAATTTTTCTTTACGCAATACCCGGCAGATGTTCAACCACAGCACTCGATGCATGATCATCAAGCTCGTGACCAAGCCCCATGATTTAGCTTCACGGCATCTGAATGTGGAAGTGATGTATGTGCTACAGGAAATGGGGCTACATAGGTCGATTTCCATGACAGGGACTCACGGCGTCCGAGGTCGGTATTGTGAAAAGCAGGCCGAAGAGTCATGGCTCCCTAGGCAACCTATTCTAGGTCGTAGCACAAAATGGCCGACCGTTACGGTCGAAGTGGGCGTCTCGGAATCTTATCGAAAGTTGAAGGCGGATGCAGAATGGTGGCTCACGAACTCTAGGGGCGATGTGAAGCTTGTAATCATTGTGTCTGTCAATCGAAAGACTCCTCAGATCAAGTTTGAGACTGTTACTTTGACCCCGGCCACCTTACGACTCCAGCGGCCCCGTGACGTTCCAACCATCCGACAGTCTATCACTACATCCCGGGATCCAAAACGACCCGACGCAACGATTACCGTCAGCCCACTAGTACCTTTGACTATTCAATTCGAAGAATTGTTTTGTCGGCAACCTGTCCCCCCGGAACACAATATTGACCTCTCACCTGATCAATTGAGAGAGATTTCAGGGCAGGTCTGGGATCATCAAGTCTTTTAAGTTATTCTTACCTCGTTAGTTAGCTTCTTCAAACAATGACAAAATCTTTGCTACAATAATCGTGCCAAGCACATACTACACATACCTGGTGTTGGTGCGACCCACCAAACACTAGGTTTTAATTAATTTTATCACTTTCTTACCCAATTTGCACCACACCACGATATCAGATCAAATTGAAAATATGGAAAATCGAATCCAGGAAGCAATCAAAGCCTTCCATGAAGCCATTAAGCCTACCACCGCGCTAGACTGTTTCCGACAGCGCCAAGAAGCTACTTCATCTACAATATGAGAGAGAGCAATTGTAAGGAGAGGACTACGTGAGGGACGTCGAAGTGCATAGTGCAATGTGAGATAGATTGTAGAGTTGTAGAAGCTAGGCTCTAGACTAAGGAATCTGAAAGCAATACTGGTTCGGTAGTGAGCTGGCACTTTCCTCTAGGATTCTAATGTTTCATCGTGCTCGCCACTATTGCTTCTGTTCTTGTCGCCCCTGAGTCACCGTCGTGGCTTGTCATGAAACACCGTGGCAACGAAGCCTGTGAAACCCTAGCACGGCTCCTTGCAAAGCCAACGATCAGAAAGTAGTAGACGAAATACATCGAAGCCAATATAGGCAATTTTCGAACGCAAAAGTAAGCAACAGAAATTGCGTAGGATCCTTTTTGGAGCTGTAACTGCATTCTTCCAACAACTTGGCGGAACCAATGTTATTGCATACTATCTGCCAATGGTTCTGACCCGGTCAGTTGGGTTAGACAACAGAATGGCCCTGATCTTATCGGCCGTTGACTTCATGTCGCTAATGTTTTGGGGCTATGTTGCAGCTGTGCTCATTGATCGCATTGGCCGAAAGAGCATTATGCTCTTCGGTGCCGCGGGAGGTAGCGTCTTCTTTATACGAAGGCAATAAAAATCATACTTTGCGCAGACGACTTTTCTATATATAATCAGGGATGTAATCTACTTTCTGTGATAGGACTACACATTGATTGTGTTAAAACCTGGGGTGTTGCAGAAATCATGGGTATAAATCTATGCCTCCCCCCCAGCCTATGAATCCCGTAGGGATTGTCCATTCCTAACCAGGTTAGATCTAACTCCGGTTATACCAGCGATTGGTGTGCAGGCTCGGAAGAAGAAAAGAAATTTGGACAACATCTACTTCGTCAACAAGCCCGTCTATCACGCTACCTGATGTTATTTATCCTTTACATATACCAGTCTACCCCGCTTGAAGCCGCAGAAATACAAATGCGCGAATTGATGTGAAACGCTATGTGATTAATCTAGCATTTACTAGAGAAAGCTCCTGTGTTGGATAGAGTCTGACTTTGTTATTAATTTGAAAGTCATACATACAACCCCCTCCTTTTTTTTTGTATCTTCCCTTTTCAAAAATGCAAGTGGAAAGCCTTAAATATTCCACGTCTCCTCCCTTTTTTTCTCCTTTTTTCTTTCTATTTTCCTCTTTTTTTTCTTTCTCCAAATTTAATCAATGAAGTTGCTCCCAGTCTTTCTCCGAGATCGCAAGTTTCCCGACCACTTTTGTCCGATTGCCCACCCGCCGAATTAATCGGCCCGCCGTATCATGATCTCGGATCACCTTTCTCCAGCTGTCGTAACCGTGACCCTCGTGCCCTTTAGCCATATTCTCGTGCCCCACAATCACAAGACCATCTTGAGCTCGGCTGAGCGCAACGCACTGTCGATTGCGGTCTCTCACAAATCCTATGCCCGTTTGGCCCCCTGGTCGAGTTGTTGAGAGGATGACAAAGGGACTTTCACTCCCCTGGGAGGCATCGACGCTTTTGACTTCGATTGCTCTCAGCTGCAAATTGTCATGGAGCAAAGAAGATAGAGCACGGCGTTCTTCGTCGTAGAATGAAAGTATCAGGATCTCGTCCTGCGGAATTCCGCCCCTAATCATCTGACTGACCAATCCGCAAATGAAGTCGACATATTCTGGATTGAGGACAGATGTCGAGCCTTTGCGGCGCCAAAGTGATGATTTGTCAACAGACACGAAATAGGAAGTTCCGCGCCTACAGTCATACCAGCCGGCCATCTTAGTAGAGAAGTCCTTTGCCTTCGGTCTATTGAAGCACGATTGATGAGTCGTTAGTTTCGAATCGTAAAAGCTTTCGCTCACATGCTTGCAAATGTCAGGAGCCATCCGGTACTGCGTGCGTAGCTGCGTGTGAGGATGACCGGTTTGAATCATTCGCTCAAACAGCGAGACCTGTTCCGTGTTGAAACACTCATTTGATCCTCTCGATATCACAGTCGGTGGAAGCTGTGCGGTATCCCCACTGAGGATCACTTTTTTCAACCCATTCAGATTGCGCATGATCCCATTTAGTGCTTGTGACTCGACCATCTGAGATGCTTCTTCGACAATCAGATATGAGGGCCGAAAGCCTCGGAGCGCCTTTCGACCAGCGGTTGATGCAGTACACAAAACTATCTTTGCGTTTTTCAGGTAGAGCTCTTGCAGGTTCAGCCAGAGCCTCTTCTGCTCTCTGACAAGTTTTGCGTGGCTTGTCCGAGGGGGGGATTCATCCGCATAAGTTGATCCTGATGCCAGAACAAGGGCTGTTGACTCTAAAAATAAGTCGCCCTGCCTCCTGAGAAGTTCTTGGAAGGTTATAAAGTCCCACAGGCAATCTCTTTCCTTGACAGAAATGTCACTAGCGGCTTTGTCTCTCGTGATCTGCTTTGGTTGCCCCCTTGCCATAATCCTTTCCAATGAGTTGGTGATATGCGCTCCCAGGGAAAACCGATGGCTTGGATCTGTGATCCCCTCCATTGAGGAAATAACAACTTGCCGGAGTTCCGGATCAACGCCACGTTCTCGGAGATCTCTGTCGACCTTTCTGAACATTAGAGACGGTTCCCTTCGGTAATAATCGTCCTCATCTTCATTCTCATCCTCATTCTCGTCTTCATCGCCTGCATATGAGGACGATTCTCGCGGCATTTGCATTTGCATCTCGTGTGACTCGCGGTAGTCAGTCCCTAGCCTGTAAAATCCTGCCATAGAGATCTAATTATCTTCCATATACCGAATGATGCGTTCCGTAATCACATCAAGGCCATGGTTGGAGGCGCAGACAATCAGGAGCGGCCACTTTCGCTCGAGGCAATGGGCGGCAATTGAGACAGACACAGAAGTTTTGCCAGTGCCGGGGGGACCTGTGACGAGAGAAAGAAAGTTCCACCATAGACTTCCATCGGAGAATGCGGATCGAATTGCCTTGATCTGCTCCTCGTTCCGGGTTCTCTGGATATTGTTGATGAATTGACCTGTCTTTTGATCGACCAGGTCTCCATGCCGATGGAACTCGATGTTTGCATTGTCGTGGGCCAACAGCAGACGTTTCACTTTATTGTCCCTAGCAACAGCAAAGTGGTCGTTTCCCCACATCGCATATCTGATTGCCCGGCGTGCTTGTACAATTGCTGGATTGGGCGAGCCAAAGGTTGCAAACCCTGCTAAATTCAGTCTCATCCCTATCGACTCTTGGATCGCTGGTCTTTTCAGCCGCACACAAACTGCGTGATAAGAAGACTGGCGATTGACAATAGAAGATATTCCTTGCGAAGAGACAACCACGCCCTGCCAAAGCCTGTTCTTGTTAACTTTGCGAGGCTCTTCGCTGCCTTTTTGCCGCTGGGGGGAAATGGTCACAGGCGTTCCAGGTTGCGGGAGGGGCATCGCTTGTTCTAACATCTCCTGGGCGTCTTCTCGATCTCGAAGTATAAACTTCGCGTCGATGACTCCGTAGAAGTATTCATCGAGTCCCTTGCCTTTGACGTTATGAACATCAGACGCTCGGAAAAGCTCGAATTCGTAGAAATTGTTGAACTGCGTGATAGCCGTCTCTTTTTGGGCATCTGCTTCTCGGAGTAACCCAATCATCCGGATTGCCTCGTATTCTCTCTCATTAAGGAACACGGTAAACGGAGCATTGGTGTGAGTGAGTAGCTCAGGGGTCTCTTGAAACCCACTGTCTGTCATACTTGGCCATCCGAATTTTCGACGTCGATGATGATGTTTGATTATGGGGTCCGTAACTGGGGGGATCGCCTTCATCATCGTAAACATTTTTGCCTGCTTAACATAGCGACATGCGTAAAAAGGGTACGGGGGCAATGTCGGCCGAGGCATAGCAGCCATACCACACCAGTTGTGTAGAATCTCATCACGTTGAATCCGAGTCACGACACGGATAGAGATGTTCTTTGCGCGCATATTCCGAAATCGCTGAAATGTTTGGATTTGTTCAGGTCGGAACAACTGTTCCAGTTGGGCGTCCGGTATCTCGAAACCCGAGACCATTTGCGGAATAGTGTGAGATGTCCATTGAATTTCGAAAGCTTCCGCGCCATCCTTTCCATTGCATGCTTTTGCTGAGTTTTCATCAAGCTTAACCTTCTTGAGATTCACATCTGTCAATGATGCCGAAAAAGTGAACCTCTCCGTATCAGACGGGGTGAAGGTGGGGGTTCTTTCGGAGTCAAAGTCATCGTCGTCCCAGGCAGTCCATACCATAGTGAAATCACGGTACAGTGTTTTGGAGTTTTGCACTTGTAGGCGAAGATGTAGACCGAAATGAGGAATCTCCATTCCCCCTCCAATGAAAAAGGAGAGAAGGGCACCGGGCTCGGAATATACGGCGCAGCTTTTGCCGTCTTGGAGACGAGTAGCCTTTGTACCGCACACGATTGCCGTATGAAACCGTTGAAAAAGATTCACTGTCAAAGTACCGGCTCTGGTTTTTCTCAAATCGGCTGGGCGCTTGCCTTTGTACTTGTCTTCAGAAAATGCAGTAGTCGCGTTGTACCAGTCGAGCTCATCACTGCCTCGTGTCATGCGCTTCGAAGCCTCTATCACGTCATGGTGATAACTGAATGGCTCGTCGGGGTCATCCATGGTGTCAAAGTGGGGGACGTGATACCTGCACGAATGGAATGGATTAGAACCGAAGAGAAGATCCAGTTGGAGGTTCTTTACCTGGAGGTTCTTTACCTGGCTTGAGGCTTGAGGCTCTCAGTGCTGCTGAGATAAAGCGCCTGACAAACTTTGCCGTAGTAAATTTTGAGGAGGGTGTATCTTTCTGTAATGATAAACAGGTTAGACCGGGGAAAATCATGGGCTCAGTTATAGGTCACTTACTTGGCTCAAACTTAATCTTGTGAGTGGGCACTAAATGAGAATAGAGGGGCCTGAATAAGTCAGTCTTGAAGAAGTAGGGTCTTAAAGGCTGTCAAATGAGGCGATCAAGTGAGAGAAAGGTGAAAAACAAAGTGAGAGGAAGAGAAAGCTAGGAAGTAAAGTGATAGGGGAAACCGGTACGGCCCTATCCACGAAATGTGCGACCGAAGGTCGCCAGTACTTATATGATCCAGCCTGTGATCGGAGACGCAAGGCTCATACCAAACTTCCGTGTCGCCCTTTGCCGAATGGCTGCAATGCTGCGCTCTGGAACGTCGGAGATATCACGGTTGATCCGGGAGATCCCAAAACTGCCAACAGATCAAGATGCAGTCAATCATCTTGTTGATGGATTCTCATTGCATGGAAATCCGAAAATTCATCAAAATGCCCACTGGTTGCAGATCAAGCCAACATCGAGGGAAAGGACATATAGCAGTTCAAATCTGTGTCAATTTTACACCAGGCGAGGACGGTCTTTTGGCACTTATGTGGTCACATTTTGTGGAGTATCTATGGAGATTATAAGGCAGAAATAGACGGGTACGACAATGTATGGTAAATCGACATAGGCGAAATTCTCTAATTAACTAAATTGACAAAATTCGCTGTTTTATCTGTCTGGAAATGGCTGCACACTAACGAATGCTTTGGTCAGGAAAAAGAGTGTCTGAATCAATCAATCAATCAATCAAAGTTCAATTAACCTGTTGCAGGCTAACTAGTTGCGTATGACTATGCAGGTGCTTCTTCCAACTGAAGCAAGAACTCGAGTCCTAACGCCGAGTCCCAAAGGAGTATACAGATGGTGATTAAAAAGAGTGTGGAATCGGCCTATGTCTATAACTAGTAAATCCCGTAAACGCAAACCTATATCTAACCCCATATATGAGAAATTTTTAAATGATTACCGTAGAGTACACCTTCCACCTTCTAGAAAATCTAATATATAACCAATTTATATTGTAACGGGCTAATGCCGGTACGAAGGCCCGGGCTCTGGGCCGCCTAACCTTCGAAGCCCAACCCAACCCACAGCCCATTCGTGGGGGCCCATAAGGCCCCCATTAAAGCCCATTAAGGGGGGTTTACCCAGCATCTTGTAATCGCTGTATTCTAACCTTCTACTTATTATATAGAGTTTAAATGTTTTGAATTTATAATATTTATAGCTATATAAGTATACCTTTTAAATTTAAATAAAATCCGACTAGTAGAGGTCGAGATACTGTAAAAATGTATATTTTAGATTTGTATCGGAGTACTACTACTTTCTAAGTGAACTTCTGTAATTTATAAATTATCTAAATAACGTGCTTTCTCGCGATTTTAAACGTAATATAGAGAGATAACCAGATTTTAATTCTAAATGATTTAAACTAATAAAATATTACCTTTAAAATAAGGCTTAGAAACGGGGGTAAAACGAAGGGTAATTTTAAAATCCCTAAACGGGGGTTCAACTTCTGGATTCTCGGCATATTTGTACTGAGACATGGGTCCTGCCCGTGCTCACCGCCCTAAGGGGGACACAACATCACCGCCGAGCTCCTACATAGTACAACTCCCTAAGCTTTAGTTAAACAGCATGCAGGCACCGTTTAATTGAATTAATTCGACTGTAGCCCTTCACAATCGCCCATCGTTATGCAAAATTAATGCAAAAATTACCCTATTAGGCTATTTTATGTACATAACTAGTTCTTGGCAGTATCCACTTTGCCAATGAGTGCCCGCATATGTCTTGGCGACGCTAAAAGTGTCTCCACTTTAACGGGCGTTGTCGCAGTCTACTTCCTAGTGCCCATGGACGGGCGATGTCGCAGTCTAGTTAAAGAATTCTGCTTACTAAAAAGGCCCACGGGCGCCTACGACGCCTACGGCCTATGGGCCTATCCATATATTATGTAATCCAAGCCTAATTTAGATCCGATCGATATATATCACGTGATCTAGCCTCCACGAACGTGAGATTCTGTAAGGATCGCATGGCTTCTATTGGGTAGTACTATTTACTAGCTAAATGCAGAATGTATTACATCAGTGCCAAGCCTCGCTTGGACCAAGTAAACCTTTTGGGTGCTCACTACGGAGTAAGCCCTGGGCAATAGTAAGCACTTGGCCGAGTACTCGGGTATGTCGGCGCATGAAGACCGGCATACCGGAGGATCTATTAATCCCACTTGTTTTGTAATTTATGTTATGTAATCGAGGCTCCATATAAATTGTACAGGAAGCCGATACAGAAATACAGAGAGTTGAACCCCATTGATTGGACCCCTTATTTTACAATACCACTTGCTCCAACAGGGTATGTATGCCTAAGGCAGCTGTACTGCAAGTATTCTTGCCTCAGGCACCGAGATGCTGCAAACCCTGCAAACCTCTCGGGAGCACAAACGGTCATCGTGTATCTTGCTAGTTCCATTGCAAACCCAGTCAATGACCATCCCTCCGGACTGAAACTTTTTGTTAGCATGACCTACTTCCTCATTCTCCGTGGAATATTATCAGCACTCACCACAATGGTCAACTGGTATGTCCCCACCATGAAGCCATGAATTTGGGTTGGTGCGATCTCGGACTGGAATACTGGAACAACAGAGAGTTCCATGCCAATATATATATCTAGTTGTTTTAGAAGTGATTCGATGGGAGAAGTTCAACAAACGCACAATTCAAGATCCTGGCGGCTAATATTTGATCGTTGGATTGAGACGTAGTGGTAATTGTGGCGGTAGCTAGAGCATAGATGCTCATGGCAAACATACACCATCGGCGACCGAGTCGAGCACTTATAAGGCTGCCAATAATAACACCTGAAGGTTGATTAGAAATGAAGGTGCTTATGATTTTTCACTGCGTACCACAGGCGAAGGTCAAATACGGGAGTCCGTTGAAGTATGACTTCCACTGAGTGTCGAGGGCCCAGTTTTTGGCTTCTGCATCATAGACACCAAATCTCTTCTCGAAGGCATCCATGGCCTGGGTTTGGGCAAATCCTTGGTTATCGAAAGCATAGTTGAAGCTGGAGAGAGCAATCAGGCTACATGATAACGCTAGCTGTTTGTTCAAGTATTTTCGCACATCGTAGTGGCCGAGCATTGTGATGTTAGTATCGCAGAAAATGCTCGTGATCGATTTATTTTGCACTTCAACATGGTAGTACTACTGTATTTGTATGCTTGTTTTATATAAAATAAGCTCCGTGGTAGTTGAGGATTTGTTATGTGTAGATTGTCCTAGCCGGCACCGGCTATTTCCTACCCGTACGAAGACTTATAGGACTCAGGGTTCAAAACTCCGTTTGTAGGTGGAAATTGATACCTGAATGCCTTATCTAGCACCGGCTTTTACACCGCTCTAGTTATACAGTGTATGGTAAATTCATTAATACTACAACTA